AGTAACATATGTATGTATAATACAATAACATTAAATAATTATTTTTGTAGGTATAAATATGCCAAGTTGCTGTATTCCTGAATGCTCTAATTACACCAGCAAAAAAGTAAAAATGCATATGGCTTCCTTTCCAAAAGATCCGGAAAGAAAAGAATTATGGATTTTTAGCATAAACAAAATAATTGGAAATAAAAAAAATAATTGGAAACCAACCAAATATTCAAGAATATGTGAAGTAAGTAATAAAAATCATCTCTTCTGTTATAAGAATAAAAATACTACATAAACAATTTGTATAGATACATTTTGCAAATGAAATGTGGGAGAAGGTACGAATTGACGGAACGAAGAGACTGAAATGCAACGCTGTGCCCACAATTTTCTCGACTCAGTCAGTACAAAGTAGCACATGTATTACTACAAACGTGAGTTCTCTTTCTTTGCAAAGTTTTAAATATAGTGCTATTACATTAAAGGGGGAGGATTGATAAGGCCATGTAAAAAAAAAACAAATTATTATTAAAATGATGGACTTATTTAAGGATGAAATTACTGAATTTTCGGGAAGACAGCTTGATGCAACATTTAAAACATTGGATGAAACAGATGAAACATTGGATGAAACATTGGATGAAACATCAGTTTATGACAACGGTAGCGAGAAACAAAATGACTATTCTATACCAGATGTTTCTGATGTTACTCCGTTAATATCGAGTAATCTTATTATTTTTAATTACTTTCAATTACTCTGTGAACTATTGAATTTAAGTTATTGTAATATCGTTATGTTACTTTTAGATTCGTCTACTTACAGTCATTCCAAAGAAATATGCAACAAAGAAGTTTCTGAAATTAAATTGCTGATGAAGCAATTGGAAGAAGCCAAGACAAAACTTGATAATACCAGCACAAAACTTGATAATGCCAACACAAAACTTAATAATGCCAACAAAAAACTTAATAATGCCAACAAAAAACTTAATATTGCCAACAAAATTATTTTCAAAAGTAACCGATGCAACACTCAATTAAAACAGCGTATTAAGAAATTGGCTCGAATCCAAAATTCGAATTTGGAATCTAATTCAAATTTGGAATCGTCGATAAAGCGATTATTAAATGATGATCAAATTAAAGTTCTCACGGGGAAATCCTCACGCGGTTGTTCATGGTCTAATGATACAATAAAAAAAGCACTTAAACTTAAGTTTTCCTGCGGTAGCAATGGCTATCAAGAGTTGCTGAAGCAAAACATGCCTTTACCGAGCGAATGTACACTTCGGAGAAAAGTAGCAAATATTCAATTCGAGGAAGGAATAAGTGACTCTATTTTTGAATTGTTAAAACAAAAAATATCTATGTTTAAGGACGTTAGAGAAACAGATTGCTCACTTGTATTAGATGAAATGGCAATTGCATCAGGTGAACAGTTTGACCCATCAACACAGTCGAAATGTGGGAATGCATCATTTTGTACACGCGATGGTATGTCTTTTTAAGAATTTGATGCTATATGAATCAGTAGGTGCATCCAGAAAAATTATGAATTTTTTTCTTTTGCATAATTTACGGTCAATTTTTTTCTTTTTTCTATTTGCATTAACATTACAAGCAACGGAAAATGTAACGAATCTTTACTTTGTAAGTAATAGTAACGGTAACGCGTTATTTTTATGAAATAGTTATCCGAACTCTGCTTTTTCAATGTTTCTATTTTTCTCTTTTTTCTTGTTCTGCATTGTATATAGATAAAAGTGATTTAGCTACGCATGGTCTGATTTTTGTACTTGCTGGTATCTTTTCCCGTTGGAAGCAAATTGTTGCGTTCTATCTAACACCTGCCAGTTATAACGGAGGATTGTTATACCCTATCGTACTTGAAATAATCAAAAAAGCTGAATTCATCGGATTGTTGGTACATAGTGTTACAAACGATATGGGTCCTAATAATTTAGCAATGTGGCGTGAATTTCTGGTTGGTGTTGCTGGACGCCATTCAACAGTAACGAACTCAATTACCCATCCTGTAGATAACAATCGCAAGCTTTGGTTTATTGCTGATCTTGGGCATCTTTTAAAGAATCTAAAATTCTGTTTGATTAATAACAAAACCATTAATTTACCTTCCAATTTCGCGAGTACACATAATGTTTCTTCTTTGGTTGATTGCTTGCATATAAAAGAACTTGCTGAGTTTCAACAAAATTTACAGCTACAACTAACAACGAAAATTAAAGTAGACGATTTTTCAAGTGGCACTTTTAACAAAATGAAAGTTAACAAAGCTAAAAATTTTTGGTCCCGCGATGTTAGTGCCAGTCTAAACTTTCTGGCAATGCAAAATCCACATAACAAATATGAGACAACAGCCTTATTCATTGAAATGATTTCAAAATGGTTTACGTTAGTTACTTCACGTACTCCAAATCTTGCATTAAGGAAAATTCAAAATGATGAAGTATCTGAAAATAAATTTCAAACATCAATTGGATTTTTAGAATCTATTATAGAACTTTTTCAAGAAATGGAAGTTGGAAATGGTAAACAATTTAAACCTGTACAACGTGAAGTCATCATTACTACCAAGTCCATCATCGAACTGTCGACGTATTTAATCAATGAAAAAGGCTATGAATATGTTCTGTCAAGTCGATTAACATCAGATTGTGTAGAAAATATATTTTCTTCTGTTAGAGCTAAACAACCTACGCCAAATGCTTTACAATTTAAACAGAATTTAAAGATTATTGCAATATCAAAATATTTAAAGCCAGTAGGTAATTCTAGTTATGAAGAAGATGACAGAATTATTACTGGTGATTTCTTATGTAATTATAAAGCACAAAAAATTGAAGAAAACCTTCCACTTATTCCTATTTCTCTACAAAACACATAAAGTTAGGAGACATTGAAATGAATGTATTATATTACATCGCCGGATATATTCTCTCCCGTATTTCAAAATATAACGTTACATGTGAAATGTGTTTAAATTCTGTCGGATCTCCTACATACGAACCAACCTCAAATTATGCAAAATTCACAAAATTAAAACGTTTTAGACGTAATACACTTTTTTTTGTCAACGACGAAGTATTTCTATATTTCTACAAGATGGAAATAGTTATCAGGCAGTCTTTCATATCTGAAAACAAATTTTAAGAGAGAAAAATACAATTTAGTTAATTGTTTAAAAGAAAAATTGCAGTGCATTGAATGCGATACATTGAA